TTTCCTGAGGCACCAAATGTTGTTTCACTAGTGCTCTGGTTTCAAAGTTGCATAGGCTTGAGTTACCTGCCACTAACCTAGTTTCCTAATAAGCCTGTAATTTCACTGTGCATTTTATGGTAAAGCATAGGTTTTTCGGGAACACATATACTGTATTATAACAGGAACACCTGTATTTAACCTTATTGTAAGCATATACTTAATAAAAGTTAAGTGTTACTAGTAGTTAATTGGTAAATTAAGGGAAAGATGAAAAAATCTTTTTCTTATTTCAACTTCTGAAGCATATACCATCTCGGACTCATTAAGAACTTTTCACATATTGTTGGGTGAATCATTCTTTTCAGACAGGACATTAGACTTTATGTTCACTCTCCCTTGGACGAAGGTGTTCAATACATGTTGACTGATATTCAATAAATATTCCTTGACTAACCCTGCATCCAGACTTTTAAGGTTGATCTATGAGTCTTTCCATATCAGCCTGGTTCCATTCATTACGAACATGCATGAACTTCTTCATTGTTGTTCTTCCCTGGTCCCTACATGTGATTAAGTTCCGTAATCAGTAATTGAAGTGACGCATCTTTGGTTGCCTGGCCCTTCCTCCCTTGTACTCATTCAGTCCAGCTCTCCCCCTCCTCAGCCTGGGCCCTCCGTGCTGCCTCGGCTTTTCCAGTCGTCACTCTCCCACTAACCTACAAAACTGTTTCCATCTTGTCCTCTTTAAAAACCTGTCATACCTCTCTCCTCATCCACATTCCCTCACCTGATGGTGTCGCTGCCCATTGCACTGAGAAAATAGAAGATGTCAAAAGAACAGTGCCACAAGCTCCCCAACACACTTACCTACCTGCCTACCTGCACCTGGGACATGGAGTCCATAGTCTTTCTTGTGATTGCAGGTGACCTGTCACATTTGTAAGACCAGCCTCTCCTCCTGTGTTCCAGTTCCCATCCTCTCTTCTTGTCCCTTCCAGGCTCAAAAGCCTCCGGCGGCTCCTATCTCACAGGAAAGCCCAAATCCTCACATAGGCCTAAATTTCTATATGATCTGGCTGCCTACTGTCTCCTACCACTCTCCCTCACGCACCCCCTGCTAGCTACCTGGGCTCACTGCTGCTCTTCAAGTGCTCCAGGCACACACCTGCCTCGGGGCCTTTGTTTTTTGTGATGTCCCTGCCTGGAAAGCTCTCCCCCAGATTCCATTGGGCCCTCTCTGTCCCTCCTCTAGGTCTGGTCACCTGCCAAGTGAGGGCTTCCCCATCTGACATTGCACACATGCACCCCCAATACTCCCTGCTCTTCCCAACTTCCTTTTTCTCCTCAGTGCCTGTCACCTTCCAACACACTGCCTACCTTACTTGTTTATCATAGTCACTCCCTACATCCCCTCCTGGCCCCCACAGAAGCNTGATGGTGCCAACTTGGGCCAGTAAAGCAACGTCCTCCACAACTAGACTGAAGAACAAAAGGACAGCAACTTGTCTGTTCCCCATCCCCCAATTCCCCAATAAAAATCTTTAAAAAAAAAATGTCAGGAAGAGAGCAGCTAGCTATGCCTCTTGGACAATTGTTTCATTGTTTTAGGCAAAAAAAAAAAATTTGAATATAAAATACAGTATGTTTTATTTTCATCTCTTATCACTTGGTTGTGTGGCCATTTTAGTTCTAAGTGTTTATCACCCCCAATACTTCCAAATAAATGTACCAAAAGCTGCTATTTCAGAGAGATCTTTGTAAAGCAAGGCATCACACTCCTGACACACCGTTTCTGTGTAAGTTTTTAAGTGCAGGTGAAGTTCTTCATTTTTTCGACACAATCATCTGTGGCATGAGGCTTTCTTCTCTTCTAATAAGGGTGTCCTATGGTGATGTGAATTACTGAACAATGTCCACTTTGTCCAGTTGCCCCAAAAAGACTAGTTTAGCCTGGAGACTAGTTTAGTTTGATTGTCGCTTTGAGGCAATTCCCAGGATTTGGTTCAATCTCGGACCAAGCAAATTGGAGAGAGGTCAGGCATAGAAGTCCAGACTGAAATGAACCTTCCTCTCCATACCCTCCTCCTCTCGACTTACCCATGGATATGGCATTTGGAGAAAATGATGGGACAATTATCCAGGGATCAGGCTTTTATTAGACTGTTTATATCTGGGTTTCTCTCTTTTTCAGATGGGCGAGTCAAATGATGATATAGACCAAATGTTCAGCAATTTGCTGGGAGAGATGGATCTTTTGACCCAGGTAAATTTTCCTTTTTAACTTTCAAATTAGAAAAAAAAAATGGAGTTACAGAATTTGATTTTAATATAATGAGAGAGCTATCTTTAAAAAAAAAACAAAAAACCAAGGTTGACAATATTACAGATTCCTGATGTGTGACAGTGGTAGGGGAAAAAAATAAAGCTTTCTTCCTGATTATGCCCTTTTGAGTTCAGTTAATTGAATACATTGGTCACGCCTACATTCTGTATGGCAGTTCTCATGCTCATTATGGTCAAATATTTAGCCAATAGAGGAATTTTCCCCAGGTGAATCCCTCCCACAACTGCCATCACTGACCAATTTCCCCTGCAGTTATCTTTATATCAAGACTAGCTAAGGAAGATTACATGATCTTTAGTAAAGATTCTCACAACCAATTTTTGAGGAAATGCTACATTTTAAATAACTAAATGGGAGTTACTGTGGCCTCTTGATGATGCCATAAGAACTTAGTCCCGCCCAAGTAGCATGAAAACCTCTCAGCCATAGTCTCCAGGTCTAAGAAAAAGCCACTGGCACGAAGACCAGATTAACTCAGAGGTCAATCACTGTCAGGCTGACTGAGCCCAGGGACTGCTGACCTCAGATCCACTGACCCAAGTTACAAAGTCAGGTGCATCTTAGTGTGCCTTACAGTGCTCTTATAGATTCAGAGAGTAGTTAGCTCATCATTTTCTGTGTAAAATAGTAAAATAAAAATAACCCACGATTCCTAATTAAGATAGAGACCTTAAACTTTTCTACAAAATAAATGAAGAATAGTCTATGTTTTTAAAGAATATTCTGTAGTGTATATGTCACAAATGCATCATTACAAGATATTTTTTTTCTGTTGTTTATAAAAATTAACTATCTCATTCGTATCATTCTCAGTTGACCTGCTTTATTTCAAGATGTCCCTTAAGCTCTAATCTTCTATAAGAGAAAAAGAATCACATAAAACACTTCCAAATAAGAATACTGTTTTTAAAGAATATATTTAGAGAGAAAATGTGTAAACAATAAATGACTTTTGACTTAATGATTAATTGTGCTGCAAAAATGTTTGTATCATGATTAACTTTTGGGGGTGGGGATCTGTTTCTACAGAGTTTGGGAGTTGACACTCTCCCTCCTCCGGACCCTAACCCACCCAGACCTGAATTTAACTACAGTGTGGGTTTTAAGGATTTAAATGGTAAGCATGATCATTTATTTCCTTAAGTAATTTGAAATCATAATGATGACTAACATCTGTATGGAACTACAATTTGAGAAGGAAATTTAAGGAGCCTGGACATGATGATAAGCATAATTTTCATAGTCCTAGATTTCACATTGTATGTTATTGTGTCTGGATTGAATTGAGAGGCCAAGAAGGTATTTTTGTCTATAATGGAAGGGAACATTATGCTGCATTTGCGTCAAGTCTCAAAACTATCTTACTTTTTAAAAAGTAAAGGGAGTTTCTTCTTATTTCTAAGCCCTTGGAATAACAAGGAATAGTCGTATAAGAAAATATTAATAAGGAAATGTTTCTTCATGGATAATGATAAACTGTCCATTTCATAATGATTGCTAATATATGAATGGATGCTTCCATATAAATATATATATATATATATATACATATATATATACATATATATATATGTAATATGATATATTTGGTCTATTTGACAATTTTATTCTTCCTGAGATCATCACATTATTTTATTAACAAAATCTCTCTTTTAGTGCAGAGACAACCCTTAGCCCACATGCTATTCAGATTACAATGAATCTTGACGTTTCGCTTCCAAATTAATGAGAATTCATTGCAACTCTTGAAAAAGATTTCCCAAAGACTGGCGGTGCCTACCAAAAGAATGAAAAGCTAAATAATGGAGAAGCCCAGTTACAGAAATCCAGAGTCCCGGGTTTTATGTCTGTCACTCACTGGATTTCTTTGTTTCTGTTTCTGTCATTTTCAGTAATTTTTGATAAACACTTAGGTGCTGATGTCTATATCTTGATAAATTATAAGTCTTCCAATTTTCTCTTGTTCCCATTCTCTTTTCTATTTGCTATATAAATGTATTATTGTTTTCCATCATGTCCATCGTAACATTGAATGATGGTAATATTCATGAAGTTTCAAAAAAAGCGATACACTTCTGTAAAATTATGACATTCACAGATAACTTATACTTGCCATATGAACAATGAAGATTTGCTTCATCACACTCGTAACAGCTGAAATTGGAACAATTAAAACTTAAATTTAATCAGCACTTCAGTTCAATTGTAGTCAACGCAACTAATTCTTTCTAAGCACTACTTCAGTACCTGGTATTAAAACAGTCCTGAAAATGATAAGAACAAAGAAACCCAACAATATATAAATGTAGTAATGTTAATGTATAGTAACAAGAA